TAGAATCCACCATTTTACACGTACATCATTTTTTACATTTTGCTACGTGACAACGCAATATTGAACATTTTAAATTTTTTACAATTTTTTCAACCAATCAACACTTGCTAACAGATGTCATGTCAAATATAATATCAAAAAAAAGGAAGTACAAGTGATATTTTCCTTTTACAATAATTTTATGTATCGGAATAGAGATCAAGTTACACTGAGGCTCCTGATATAAATAAATATTGTTGTCCTCGGATAATGTTGTCATATTTAAATTCGAGAAATTTATAAAAACACGATAAAATTTTATTTACAATTTTTGTTCTATACTTAAATTATTTTGATATGTTCAACTCCTAGCAATTGATGAACACAATAATAAACCCGCCAACAAGCTTTTATACATGAATACTTTCAATTCTAACATAATCAATCGGTGGAATCAAATGCTACAAAAATTAGTAGGAGTGACTATATGCCAAAAGAAATTGAAAAGCAAGTTTGATGTGTATTATTATTTTTATTGAGTTTATNAGAAATTGAAAAGCAAGTTTGATGTGTATTATTATTTTTATTGAGTTTATAAAAGAAATATCTACTAATCATCAATGTTCAACTTATTTATATGAATTTATAACAAATTTAATTCAATTATTAAGACTCGCCATAAACACATCTATTAATGTTGTGCCATTGATATTTAGTAGATTATTTCTCTTTAGTCTATTGTTTGTCGAAAATGATGGAGATGGAGGAAAATTGACACTAATCAAAGTGAGTCTCATCGTGAAGAAGTCTTCTCGACTGGCTTAAATTTAGTTTTTGTTGACCCCAACTCTATTTTTTCATGACATTTCATATTCTAATCCGACCTTAGGGCATTAGTGACCTTGTTTCCATAAAAAACCCTTCTAGTGATGGGAAATTATTAAAAATATCCAAAATTAAAGCCTACCCTTTTCAAAATACCTTTTGACCATGCAACCAACATAAACTACATAAAATACCCCCAAAATCAAAAATTATAACCAAG